TTTGATCTCAGCTAGCCAATGGCAGACCCCTGAGATTCAGACTGATTTTGAACTACCTGACCTCCTGCTGGGTTCAACTCCACAAATTTCTACTGCAGGTTCCCTCTGCCCTTTGGAGATGTTCATAGTCTGGAGCTCAGAAAAATGCCCTTTATGACCACCTGTGCCTCTGCAGAGTTGATCCAAGGACTGGCACAATCAGAAGGCCTGAGGGAGGGGGTGATTTGCAGGGAGCCCGTGTGGTAAACAGGCAGGTCGAGGGCATGGCTACCCAGTCCTCATCATTTGGCCTGAGGCAGACCAGAGCAAGAAGGGGCTCTGTAAGCAGCTGTCCCAGACCTCCACCTTCCACCTTCTGCTGGATGCTGGTCAGAACTTTGAGTCTTATTCTGGCACTGACACATTGAGAAAGTCCAGTTTTGTCATGTGAAGTAAGGAAATTGAGTTTGTTGGTCTCTTAGCAACCCTGAGATATGAAGTTAAGAGTCAACATCTTCCCCATCTCCATTCTCCAACACACCATAGACTGGACTTCTAGAAGCTATAATGATAGGCATTTATCTATTCAGCCAGTGTTTGTTGAGTACAAGTAACAGGAACATTTAGAGTAAGTAGATAGCTATGGAATGTGTGTAGAAGTTTTGAAAGAAAGAAACATAGGGCTAATGTTCTTTCTGTCTCTGCCAGCCCTAATATAAATCTTCATTTCTATGCAGGAAATCTTTGATAGATTCTACTTTTCCATTTGATGATTTCTGAACTGAAAATGCAGAAAGAGTAGCATGTTTTTCTGATATGTGTGTGTGTGTGTGTGTGTATGTGTGTGTGTGTATTTCTTAGCTTCATTAGAATGGATTGAAAGTGAGCTTAGCAGCCCATAGCTTTCCTCAAAAGAAGAACTTTTTTCCTTGGATCCCTCTAAGAATCTAGGAAAAGAAGACAATGCTTAGGTCATGCAGCCACTACTGAATAACACAGTAAGTATGTGAGGGGTGGGTGGGGTATAAATAATGGATAGGGCGTTTCTTATGTCTCGCACTCCAATACAAGACATAAAAGGGGATCCCTCAAGGGAGAGGTACCAACTAACAAAAATTGTAAGCCTATGAAAATGCACTTTATTTGAATTTTTCCAGCTGTTACAACCCCCAGGGATTTATTGGTCAACTGCTGTACTCAGACCTAAATTGTAGCTCTCTGAATCCCTGCCCCATTCCTTTGTCTTCAAAAGAACTTTTGTCAGAACCAAAATACAGGCTTTCTATTAATAATTTTTCCTCATTGACTTCTTTGTATATTGCATTTTGCTCTAAAACTATATAGAATAAAAAAAAATCTCTCCAGATTTTGCTGTGGCCAGGCTCTCAGTGTTTCCTGTAGGCAATACAGGACATTAATTACCCTGGATCTGCTTCTGTCAGCGTGGGAAAAGAGTCAAGAAAGGAGCCTCTGAACAGAACTGATCTCTATAATTGTGGGAGACTTGGATTTAGAGAGTGACTTTTTCTTGGTATGATTTGCAGTTACCTGATATTATCATAAAAAATAACAATAATGTTTGGGATATTTGGATGGGATTTGGAGGTGGAGGCTTCCCTGGTACAGAGCAGTGAGTCTGACAGTGACACCATATGGCCTTTCCTGTCCCCTGCCAGTCATGTTTATCTCACTGTTGGGACTTTGGGCTTGACTTCATCCTGGCCATCACTGAAACTATCCTCCTGGTCCTCAATGAAGATTTTTTCATACATTGACTCTTCAGACTGTTCTGAATTAATATTCTTCCCTTTGGCTTGGAAAAAGCTACTCATTGCCCAACCCGGTGGATAAGCATATATTTTATTATTTAAACTGGAATACTTCTGAGAGCAGAATGGGCACTATTAATAATTCTCCTGAGACAATAAGTGTAAATGGGCTATCTTCTGCAGACTGAGTGATTGGTCACTCTAGGCATGTGATCATTGGCACAGTCAGCTCCATCATTCAAGTGGAACCAACATACCCCTCTCAGCCAAGCATCTAATCTGAAGGCTTGAAAGCCTCATCTGATATATACAGAAGTTAAAAGAGTTCATCAAAGTTCAATTACTAATCTTACTGTCTTACTGTCATGCCTGTTTGTTCAGTTTACAACTTGCAGGCTTCATAGCTCCCATCTAGAACATGCCTCCTTTAGTTTCCATTCTTCTGAGAATGATTTGGGATTCCCTAAACCCATCTTCTTGTTTTATTCAGGCTGCTTGTAGATTTTTCTTGTAGTAGACTCTGTACTCCTATACAAGGTTTCACCATATGGCCAAGAGTCTGCAAGGTCTTCTATCTCCAAGGCTAGGAAAGCTATCTGTATCAATACCCCTGCTTTCCAAGCCTGACTGTTTTCTTCCTTGGTACTAAGATGAAATCAGAAGGACCATAGTGAGTATGATTGCCCTTTGATTCTTTAGGGACACTATTACATATTACCCAGAAATATTGTTCATTGCTTCTTTACAAAGCTATATGCTCACAGCTTTAAGAAAAAAAATTAAAGGAACATGATACTGATGCTTTTAAAAAAAAAGTATTTCAGATTTTGAGATCAGGCCACAAAGTTTGGTGGAAATAACATCCACAGGCTTTTATAAGACCCTACTGTGTTATTTTTATCATGAAAATCACAGTGCCATGACATTTTATTAGATTCAAATATATTTTGTAATAAAGGTCCACAGTTCCTTATATGAAATCCTAAAAACTAGGAAAAAGGCTTAGGTTTTTACACATGTATTCAACAGCAAAACCTTGGTTTTATTCCCCTTAGATTTTTCATCATTTCAAAAATTTTTTATATAATACAATGCTTATGTATTTAATATAATACAAGTAGATATTAATAAAGATATTAAAAAACACCCTTCTATTAAAAATAAAATTGCATAGCAATTAGGGAATAACAATAGCTTAATGCAGAAAAATTAATCTGATTATTTCCTCCAACACCAAAGAATATTATGTAATACAAATAAGTTATATGCATCATTTTCCCTAATCACACAATTCTGACTTGAAAGGTTTCTAAGAACAGATTTTTGGGTGTTAGTACTACTTGCCCTACTGCTTTTTTTCAATGAATAATCTCCAAAAATTAAGCATGCACAAACCTCAAAAGAGTTTAACTCTCATTGGTTTGTGTTCTTGTATGTTCTATACTTTGGAAACTATCCACTATTAATTTTTGGTTCAGTGTTAAGCCTTTGGATTAAGCCTTTGGATTCATTAAGGTAAAATGATTGGTAAGTATCTTAGTCACTTTCCCATCGATGGGGAAAAAATATCCATTACTTACAGCTTAAGAGAGAAGAAGTTGACTTTGGCTCATGTTTCACTCTGTGTTCTGCTGGCTCCAAGGCAGAAGTAGCATGGTGGAAGGACCTGGATGGAGGGCAGTTGTTCATCCCATGGCAGCCAGGAAGTAGAAGGAGAAGGGAGGTACCAAGGAGAAATATAGATCTTTCAGTGGCTTGCCTCTAGCCAGGCTCCACCTCCTAAGTTAATAAGAACATTCAAATAGCTCTCCCTGTGGCCAAGAATTAAGGTCACTGCCAGCTACCAGCACTGATTTACCGGATATGTGGGCAAGCAATGTTAGAAATGGATTTCCAGCTTCAGTCATGTCCTGAGTTGTTTGTAGCTGTAGCTGCAACTTGGTTTCAAGTTCATGAGGCTTTCCAATCCAGAGTTACCCAGCCAAGCCACTCCTGGATTGCTGATCCACAGAAGTTGTGAGGGACAAAACCTATTTGTCATTTTAAGATGCTAAATTTTGAGGAGGCAAGCATTGACTAGTATACCTGGAACTTTGGGAAAATGTGATGGTTTCTCTGATAATTAAAATAATAATATATTCTTGTGAATTTCAAATACCAATGTATATAAGCATGCCAAGTGAAAATACTCTCTTATCTTTATAATTTATGGCATTTTGTCCCAGATTTTCTCTATGTAAATACTAACGTATATATGTATTTGTATGTAAAAAATGTGTATGAGTATGCATATTTTTGTTTTGTTTTGTTTTTTGAGACAGGGTCTCACTATGTAGTTGTGACTGACCTGGAACTCACTATGTAGCCCAGGCTGGTCTCAAACTCAAGCAATCCTCCTGCCTCAGCCCCCAAGTGCTGGGATTAAAGGTGTGCACCACCATGCCTGGCCATACTGTTTTTGCTAAAAGACCCTGGATCATATTAAACATGTGTCCTGTAACTTAGAGATTTCACTTAATGTGATATTTTCTATATAAGTTCATAGAGATGTATGTCATGTCAACATAGCTCCATGTGTTTTATTGTATGATCTTACTGGAGAATATTTAGTCTGTTTCCAATTTCTATAAATATGTAGAGTGATACAGTGGATAGATGTGTGAATTAATCTGCAGGATATATTTGTAAAAGCAACTGCTGGATCAAAGATAGGCACAGTTAAAATTATGACAAATACTTCCAGTTTGCCCTTCCAAAAAATTATACCAATGATTTTGCTCAGGGGATATAAATGTCAACTTCCCTACACCCCCAGCATTGCCTAGTAGCTATAATCATTAATCATGTACATTAAAAAATGACTGATTTTTTCTGTGCGTCATTGTTAACCATCTTTTCATGTTTGTTAGCTATTTATATGTCTTCTGCTTGAAAAGATCCATTTTCTTTGCACATCTTGGTGTGATGTTACCTTTGTACTGATTTGTAAGATCAATTTCTGTGTCAGCATGTTAACCTCTTTGCCCATAACATTTTATAGAAACTTATTGGCAAACCTATGTTAGCATTTTTAAAATGATATTTAGGAGATTTTCTATCATAACCCAATGATAATAGATTTTTATAACTAATTTTAAAATGGGTGGAATGAAAATAAAAAATAAAGCATTTTCTTTTTCTACAGATGTTAACCTGTGTTAAACTTTAGCATCAGTGACCCATTTGATTTGGATTTCTGCTGTTTCTGTTTAGCATAGAGAATATGTCATTCACCGAATTCCAAGAAGCCGTGAAGTTCAGCAGTCCTGGCTTTCCACAGTGCTCACCACGTTGCACTCCATGTGGCTCTCCTTTCCCCTCATTCACCAAGTAAAGCCAGATCTGGTAAGACCATTGCAAAGGAGAGGGACAGTAGTAACTCATCCTCTGCATCTTTCATTAGTACAGTAACAGAAGTTATTATTTTCTTAAACAGCTACCATTTATCAGTGTGCCAGGTAGTGTACTAGACCTTTTATCAAAATTCGTTAAAATTTATCCTTTAAATGTACTTTGGCCATCCTTTTCTTTCTATAACTTGAACACTAAATCTGCCTTTTTCTCCTATGTGTCTTAGGATAAACATTAACATTAACAGAAGTGCCTTTAACTAATTTTGTGCCTGTTTACTTGGTTCCTAGCCAACATCTTGTACTCATCAACCAGAAAATAGTTAATTCTTTAGTCTTTTAATTAGTCTTTTTTGTTTTTATGAAGACTGTTACCACATATGGTATAGAGTGGACAGAATAGCTACATGTACACTCTGGTGTTCATAGTAAACTAGTACAGAAAATAGAAATATGAAAACTTAACATACACTGTGTTCAATCTTACTTGCCTTATCTATAAAAGTTTTAAGTTGTCTTGTTGTCTTTAGAATAAATTTCAATTATATTCCAACTGTACTTCACTAGACAATGCAAATCAATAGATATGTTATCACAGTAGTGTTTAAAAGTTTTAAAATAATACTCTCATTCCTGTTGAAGGCAGAATCCATTAACTGGCATAGCCTGAAAGGAAACTCTTCAGTCTCTTGAACACAATAGTTAAACAGAAATGCTTTAGCTACAGTGTTTTTGGAAGATCTCCACGTAGTTTGGTCCTTGCCTTTCATCAGCGGGGTCACTCTTTGGGATGAATTTTTACATGAGTAGTTTTGTATTTTGCTCGAGTTTGTTTTTTAAAATACAGTGAAATGCTCACATCGTAAGCGTGTAGATCGACCACATCCCTAACAAGAAGTAGAGCATTTCTGTCATCCCAGAATAGATTCTCCTGCCCTTTCCCAGTCAAGGCTTCCCTCAAGCAATCATTCCTCTGATTTTTATCACCATAGAATAATTTTGCATATGTCTCTCTTTAAAGTTTTGTCAAAGTTTATCTCAGAGTCTCTAACCACATTTTTTTAGTGTATGGAATTCATTAATGATTATTCTAAAAGGTTTAATTTGTTCACTTCTAAAATTCAAGTGATAAATGGAAAGGAAAATACAATTTTAGGACTGAAACTGGAAATTTTAGGTCTACATTTATTGTCACTGGAAAGCTGTAGTCATTCTACTGGCAACAGCCAGCTTGAGTTTAGTGACATCGGACTGTAGGTGTGGAAGCTCAGAAGGACACGGCCCGATGCCTGCTCTCTGTTGTGGATGCCTATGAGCTCTGCCTGGCCTAAGTTTTGGATACTTCTGTAGTCACATTTCCTGGGAGCGGAACACTTGATTCCAGGTACACTTTGGCCTTTGTTTTTTTGTTTGTTTGTTTTTGGTGCTGGGGATTTATCAAGCACCTCACACATGCGGGGCCAGTGTTCTACCACTGAGTCTCAGATCCAATCCTCATTTTGGTTTTTATTTTAGTATGTTTCTATCTGGGCCTTATTCTTTACCTTCAAAGAGTTGGACTAAATATCTTCTCAGTTTCCTCCTTAGTCTAGAATTTTATGAGCACCATAAATTTGCTGGTAAAATGTAGAAGAGAAAAAGATTATGTGTCTAAGTAATAAAAGAAAAAGGGAGATAATATAAATTACTTGTTCCCATTTTAAAGTTATATCTGCCTGGCCTGGTGGTGCACACCTATAATCCCAGCACTTGGAAGGCTGAGGCAGGAGGATCACCACCAGTTTGAGGCCTGGATGGACTGCGTAGTGAGGTCAAGGCAAGCCTGAACTACATAGCAAGACCATGTCTCAAAAAACAAAAAGTTTTATCAAATCTGAACATTATTACATGGATAGCTTCCCAGTTGAGCTCCTATGTAGTGATAATTCACCTTTACAGAGAAGAAAATTGATGGTTGAGAGGTCTTTCACTACATTGAAAGAAAAACCACAACATGCAGATCGGGCTGACTGTACATGTGTCCACAAAATCCATATGTTGAAACCCTAACCCTCAAGAGAATAACATAGGAGGTGGGACCTTTGAGACATGATTAGGCCTGGTGCAGAGCCCTCATGAATGAGATTAGTAACCTAAACAAGAACCCCAGAAGTTCCCTCTACCATGTAAAATTCTTCTACCATGTAAAATTACAGTGCGGAGAAGGCTGTTTTTGAGGAAGCAGGTCTGCATGAGAAAAATGAATCACTAGTGCCTTGATCCTGGACTTCTAAGGCCCCAGAACTGTAAGAAAAGAGAATTTTTTTCTAATAATTGAATTTATTGGTACATTTTAGGTATACAGTACAGTTACATTCATTGTTGGGATCTTGTACCTTTACATGACAGCTCTTGGTTCTCATTTTTTTTCCCATACCCCTGCCCTTCCTTCAACCCCTCCTCCCCTCTCCATTTACAAACACTTTATTTCGATCTTTTCATTTTCTCACATTTTTTCTTTTCCATTATTACCCTTCCCCTACCCATCCCACCTTTCCTACACCTGTAGCCTCTTGCTTCCCATTTCACAATGTCAGTTATCTCATTAGGATTTTATGTACTATTACACTTTATTCACACCAGAGAAACTATTTGGTATTTACACATGTATGACTTATTTATTTCACTTAGGAGTATATCCTCAATATGTATCCATTTTCCTATGAATGACTCTAACTTCTCATTCTTTATGACTGAGTAATATTCCATTTTATAGAAAAACCACATCTTCTTTATCCAGTCTCCAACTGATGGGCAAATAGGCTCTTTCCAAGTTTTGGCTATTACAAACTGTGCTGCTATAAACATGGGTACCAGTCTGCACTCCCACCAACACTGGAGAAGGGTTCCTTTCTCCCCACAATCCTGCCAACATTTGTTATTGTTTGATTTCTCGATAGCAGCCATTCTTTGTGGGGTGAGGTGGAATCTCACTGTTGTTTTCATCTGCATCTCTCAAATGACTCACATGATATGGAACATTTTTTCATATATTTACTTGCTGCTTTTACTTCTTTTTCTGTGAAATGTCTGTTCATTTGAAATGCCCTTTTTTGAATTGGGTCTTTATATTTGAGGGGGCTGATTGTTTTGAGTTCTTTATATGTTCTAAATAATAGTCCTTTGTCTGAGGAGCAGCTGGTAAAATTTTTTTGTAGGTTATCTCTTAGTTCTTTTGATGGTTTCTTTTGCAGTGCAGAAGCTTTTTAATAATACGAGATCCCAGTTGTTGATTCTTTCTGCTAGTTCCCGTGCTACTGAGGATTTGTTCATAAAGTCTTTTCCTATGCCAATGTCTTCCAGAGTTCTGCCTAACTTATCTTCCAGCAAGTTTAGTGTTTCTGTTTTAATGTTTAGATCTTTCATCCACTTGGATTTTAATTTATTGCATGGTGAAAGATAAGGGTCCAGTTTTAATCTTTGGCAGGTTGAAATCCAGTTTTTCCAACACCATTTTTTTTTTTATTGAGTTTATTGGTACATTTAGGGATACAGTACAGTTACATTCATTGTTGGGATCATGTACCTTTACATGGCAAGTCTTGATTCTCATTTTTTCCCCTTACCTCTGCCCTCCCTTCACCCCCTCCTCCCCTCCCCATCTACAAACACTTTATTTTCATCTTTTCATTCTCTCACATTTTTTTCTTTTCCCTTTTTGTTCTTCCCCTACGTATCACACCTTCCCTACACCTTTAGCTCCTTTCCTCCCATTTCTAAATGTCAGTAATCTTATTAGAATCTTATGCATTGTTGCAGAATATTCACACCAGGGAAACTATTTGGTATTTACACATGTGGGACTTATTTATTTCACTTAGGAGTATATCTTCAATATGTATCCATTTTCCTATGAATGAATCTATTCTCTCGCTCTTTATGGCTGAGTAATATTCCATTTTATAGAAAAACCACAACTTCTTTATCCAGTTTCCAACGGATGGGCAAATAGGTTGTTTCCAAGATTTAGCTATTACAAACTGTGCCGCTATAAACATGGGTGCACATACTTCTCTGTGATATGATTCTTTTAGTTCTCTTGGAAAGATACCCAACAGAGGGATGGCTGGGTCAAATGGAACCTCCAGTCCAAGCTCTTTGAGGTATCTCCATATTGATTTCCATAGTGGTTGCACTAGTCTGCACTCCCACCAACAATGGAGGAGGGTTCCTTTCTCCCCACAACCCCGCCAACATTTGTTATTGTGTGATTTCTTGATAGCAGCCATTCTTTGTGGGGTGAGGTGGAATCTCAGTGTTGTTTTCATCTGCATCTCTCGAATGACCAGTGATGTGGAACATTTTTTCATATATTTTCTTGCTGCTTTCACTTCTTTGTATGAGAAATGTCTGTTCATTTCGGATGCCCATTTTTGGATCGGGTCTTTATATTTGGGGGGACTGATTGTTTTGAGTTCTTTATATATCCTTGATAATAGTCCTTTGTCTGAGGTACAGCTGGTAAAAATTTTTTCCCACATTGTAGATTGTCTCTTAGTTCTGCTAATGGTTTCTTTTGAAGTACAGAAGCTTTTTAGTAAGATGAGATCCCAGTTGTTGATTCTTTCTGCTAGTTCCCGTGCTACTGAGGATTTGTTCATAAAGTCTTTTCCTATACCAATGTCTTCCAGAGTTCTGCCTAACTTACTTTCCAGCAAGTTTAATGTTTCTGTTTTAATATTTAGATCTTTAATCCATTTGGATTTTAATTTAGTGCATGGCGAAAGATAAGGGTCTAATTTTAATCTGTGACAGGTTGATATCCAGTTTTTCCAACACCATTTATTAAAGAGGCTATCTTTCCTCCACTGAGGATGGTCAGCTCCTTTGTCAAAGATGAGGTAGCTGAGTACATCTGCATTTGTTTTTGTGTCTTCCAGTCTGTTCCATTGATCCTCAGGCCTATTTCTTTGCCAGTACCATGCTGTTTTTATCACAGTGGCTTTGTAGTATAGT